TAATGTTAATAAGACTAAAATCCTACCTAAAAATATGACTACTCAGGAGAAGCAGACTCTGGGTAACTTGACGGGTTTTGAAATTGTTAATAAGGTAAAATACTTGGGGGTGATGTTATCTGTTTCTAATGCAAAATTATTTAAAAATAACTATGAAAGGTTGTGGGCTAGTGTACAGAAAGACTTGAAGAATTGGGAGAAGTTGCAGTGATAAAAGTTGCAGTGATAAAATGGGAAGAATTGCAGTGATAAAAATGAATATTCTACCCAAGTTTCTTTTTTTGTTCCAAATGTTACCGATCTTGAAGAATGAGATTAATTTAAGTGAATGGCAGAAAGGTGTCAATAAATTCATTTGGGCAGGGAAAAAGCCAAGGGTTAAGTTTAAAATCATGCAAGACTTCCGTGAGAGAGGTGGACTCAAGGTACCGAATTTGAAATTATACTATGATGCGGTGGTTTTAACACTAATTAGTGACTGGGTAAATTTGACAAATCTCGAGATACTCCATCTAGAGGGATGGGATTTACTTTTTGGGTGGCATGCCTATTTAATATTTAATAAAAAAGTGGATTGGGCTTTCAAATCTCACATTATAAGAATTTCCTTACTTAGGATTTGGAGAAAATATTATAAAGGTGATTTTAAAGTACCATTATGAGCCATACCTTGGCATGCGATAGAAGGAATAAAAAGAGGTGTTAAAATGGACATGGTGTCTTACAGACAGCTACTCAGATGGGATGGACAAAATTGGCAGTTAAAATCACGGGAAGAGTTAGCACAAGAAAATATTATTTACTCTTGGTTTCAATACAGGCAACTAGCAGATAGATGGAAAGTGGATTGTAAGGTGGATTTTCTTAGAGAAGATGAAAATTTTATTAAGCAAGTGAAGGATCAAAGACAAACTCATATTAAGAGAATTTATGGGGTTCTAGTTGAATTGGACTCAGAAACGGAATTAATTAAAGATTGTATGATTAGATGGGCGCAGAACTTTAATGAACCATTGGATACCTGGGAAATCATTTGGGTGAGAAATGTCAAATTTACACAAGCACAGAATCTAAGGGAGAATTTTTATAAAATGTTTTATAGATGGCACCTTGATCCACAAAAAATGTCTTTCATGTACCCTGACCTACAGCCTAAATGTTGGAGATGTGGTTGTTTGGATGCTACCTATTATCACATCTGGTGGTCGTGCAGAGAGATAAAAGCCTTCTGGATTAAGATATGGTGGAATATCCAGAGAATTTTTAGAAGGAGGGTAAAATTTACTCCACAATTATTTTTGCTAGGCATAGTTACTGATTGTGATACAAAGGAGGTTATATTGATGTTAAATTTGATTACAGCCGCAAGGCTGTTAGTAGGACAATACTGGAAGAAGGAATCTTTGCCTACAATGCAGGAATGGTTCCTTAAAATAATTTTTTTTGTTCAAATAGAGGGGGCAAGCATGGTCTCTATTGGTGCCCTCTATTAAAGAGTAACTGCAATATATTATACTCAGATAATTTCCCAATGAACATGAAATTTTACTGCCCAAATTAATGCAGCCTAACATAATGCTGAGGCAGGTTGCATAAAAAGATGAATTGATTGGTTACCTGAACTATTTATACCTTTGAAGTCTCTTAATGGTTATAATGGAAAGCAGCAGCTATTTCAAATTCATGATGTGATTATAGTACCATTGTAGAAAGATCTTATGTATTGATCTAATGGGATAAAAGCTCCATTTATCAATATTTAAAATGAGAAGAAAAAGCCATTTCTGATTCAGAGCACCATGCTATGCTGTGTCTATTCAAATTCACCTCTTTTTTTAACTTTACTGACTTTATTTTAATTGGTGATATTAGAGTTCTCTTGGTATTTTGTGCAAATGAAATGGATTTTTTTTTCATTAACTCTTCCCAGTGAAAACTTGTACCATTCAAGTAGAAGTAAAGTCATGTAATAATTGTAGAGGTTTTTTTACATATTATTTAGAAAATCTGGACACTGAGATCTTTACTATATTATTATTTATTAAATGAATTTAAAATACACGCATTCAAAGTAGCATAAGCATTCAACCAATCAAACAAATCTTTATTATAGTCAAAGGCCAGCATGTTGAATATTCACCAGGTCTGTCAGTTCTGAGACTATATCCAGTACATGATATTTTTTTTAAACTTAGAATTGCTGTCCAGGGCTATTTACAGTACTAAATTTATTTTACAAATGTATATGTCCCCTACTTCCAATTGGCTTTAAGCAGCTTCCAAAAGTACAGAAATAATTGAATCCACACCATAACAAATCTGTAAAATCTATCTTTTTAACTAACGTGGAGGGAGGAACCTGAAATACAGTCTCAGCTTCTTCCACAAAAGTTTCTTCACATAGAGCAAAACTGGAGAGTTCTGTCTAAGCCAGGCGTCATGGCGAAACCATGCTCACCCCATTGCTGACAATGGGGAAAAATTGTGATACGTCGCAACATGTCATGTGACATTGTGAGTTTGACACCCCTGGTCTAAGCCATACACATAGTTTACATATTTAGCAAATGGTGTGCTTATGAAAGCTTTCTATATCTGTAAAACAGACATAACAGACTGCTAACATAATTAGGAAATGAAAAACCTATGCTTTAAGGACTATCCCTGCCATGTAACTTCTTCTCCTAGGGTATCTTTGGAAAAATATATATTGGAGAAGATTGCTGCAAGCTAAGCTGGAAATAAGTTCACAAGATCATATTACAAGATACCTACATAATATCCTCCAATAGCTTTGTTTTTGTGCAGGCTAGCATACTGCTTAACATACAGCAGAGCTATGACAAAGATACTGAACCAGGTTTCTCAGCTCTTTTAAACATTCCTTTTGACCACTTAACTGTCATCAAGTTACTAAATAATAGTCAATATATTTTTCTATATGAAACAGTAAGTCTTAAGAGTTTTGAGAACAGAAGTCAGAAATAGCAGATAATTCTGGAAAGGGATGGTTTTGTAAATATATTGCAGTTGTGAATATATTGCACTTGTCAAGGATGTCTCTCAGTTTTTTCCTCAACTGGAAGATTGTGTTTTTGTACCAATTGTACAATTATTGACCAGCATTATTGTTACGTTAGAGCTTTGAACTTGGATTCTCCGTATTTCTTGAAACATTTGTATATGCCTTTTCTTTGGAAGGAAACTGCAGAAGAATTGGGAGGTCACAGTACATAAATTTGGGCTGTATTCCAAATTCATCACATTGGATTTTGTGCCATTTCATCAACTAAATCATGGATTAATTAACTATTGTCCAAAAAAGAAGGTTACTGGGAAAATGGTACAAAGGAATGCTCTTATTCTGCATAATTCCAGAAAGAACAGACTTTGGCTTCTAATTTGATCAATTACTTGTATCCTGATTTCTATTTAAAAGAATGGAGAACTCATTCATTCAGAAGAGGAAATCAAAGCAATCTAACTGATACCCATCTGCTAAAGAGTTTTTTTAAAAAATCCTCTTCCATTGAATCACTACATTTATTCCAGCTCTGAATGACTGACACACGAGTAAATCAATTTCTAGATATGCATAGATAAAAAGACAAGGCATATAGTGCAATTTGGAATAATGTAAACAAGGCAACTATAACCCTGAATAATATTATCTTTATTCTAAGCAGTTATAATCCAACCTCAGCATTTCAAAAAATTTTTTTTGAAAACCCTCTATGTTTAACTAGTTTTGAATTCAATTTTAGGTTTAGAAGAATTGTCTTTAATAGATTAACTTATGTGAGTTGCTTCGTTCTGGTTTATTCTTTCTAAAAAGTCAAATTTAATATGCAGTGTAATATTGGATTCCATATAAACAAGTGTTTTTTTGCTATGTGGGAAACTGAAATATGTTTCCAATTTGAGATGAATGATGTTACAATGCATCCCCCCCCCCAAAAAAAACCCTGCTAGGTAAAGAGTGATGTTGGTTGAAGTTTTCCCTTGACTTACCTTTTAGGACATATTCTTTAATGAATGTGTCTCTTCTCTGAAGATTAAAACCCTCTAAAAACAATATGGATAGGAGTAATTTGGAACCTTTTGATTTGGGGGTAGTGATCTGGGAGATGGATGATCAATTGGTGATACATAACTGATCTGAGATCTCCTTGGCCATTGTCAGGTTATTGATAATTTAAATAATGTAGTGTATCTGCTTGTGTTTTGATCTCTTGCTAAGGAGGATTGTGATCACTCTGGTTCTTTTTTCAGTTTTTATAGAGCTCTGCCTTTGTATTGTATTTATTAACTAAATTGGGAGGGCTTTTGCCTTAAATATGGTGGTGATTTTTTTAATAAATCAAAATTATAATTCCCAAATCCTTTTGGCACACCTATTGGAGGTAGTCTCTAATATTAGCTCTCCACTATTAAAATCATCTATAAATGAGCAGCCAGTACCACATTCCTAAACTAAAATGTATAACTTCTAAATGCATTTATGTTGAAAATGCTTTTAAGTAAACCTCTCTTTTTAATTTCAGAAATTCTAAGGTGACATCTTGCTATTTCTAGTTTGAAACAGTTCAATCCATTCTACTGTATTATTTTTTTACAGCAGGTAGAAGATTCAGTTATAGGTGAAGTCCTGCTTGTAACTCCTTAGATCAAGCAACTGAACACCAAAGGAAGAAGGACAGTGCTAGATAACTCCTTGCTAGAAATAGCTTTCTTTGGGCACCTGCTTTTCACTTTGTCATCTTATCTCAGCTATTGTGTATCATGGGCCATAACTCAAAAATGAAGCACAATACTAGACATTTCTAGTCAAGGAGTCTAAGAATTAGAATGGGGAAGGATCTTTTCTGAGAGATCTGAAAACCTTCTACCAACTAAATGGAGAAATCAAATAGAGTTGTAATCAGACTCAAATAATAGGAAATGTGGTCATGTAATCAGATATGCTGTTAACCTCCTTTTTTCTTTGCCTTTTTCATTAGGATTAGAAATTTCTTGGGATGGAGATAGTTTTGTTGAAGTCATGGCTGCCCCTCATCTTAAAGGCCGGCTTTGTGGTCTGTGCGGCAACTATAATGGACACAAGAGAGATGATCTGATTGGTGGTGATGGTCATTTTAAGTTTGATGTGGATGACTTTGCTGAGTCTTGGCGTGTGGAATCAAATGAATTCTGTACTCGTCCTCCAAGGAAGCAATTTCCTGAATTGTGCCAAGGAACTGTGAGAGTAAAACTCCGTGCTCATCGGGAATGCCAAAAGCTCAAAGCATGGGATTTTCAGATTTGCCACTCAACTGTGGACTACACTGTGTTTTATCGGTAAGTGTTTCCTTTTGATGAGTGAAATGGAAATAAAAGCAAGCTGTTGTAAAACTGTTCCCAGAGTCTAGGAAAGAGCATGGTAGTTTGCCAAATAGTTCAGAACTGGAACATGTGCACATTCCTCCTGAATCAACAAAGCAAGTAGCCACCTCTCCATTCCTTTAACAGGCGGGCAGCAAGAACTCAAAAAATCCTCACCCTAAATGGATTTATTGATAAATAAAGTGTTAAAGTCCATAGTTTCCATGATTCTATAATCTAATCCTAAATCTGCTTAATAAGACTCTGCAAGAGTCTACACTTGATAGTGAAAGCTTGCTAGGTCTTATCATTAATCTTAGAAACTGGATGTGTATATTTTAGCACTCATATTAGTAAGTTTGGTAAGCTGCACATTCTTTGACCTTGCTAATTGATTCCTGAAGTAGTGGAGAGAATGCTACTAGCTTTGCTGATGTAGGAGAAATGTGCAGATCAACTAGCTCTACAATACTATGAAAACTACCATTCTCCTATGCAGACTTTGAGAAGTCCATTATGAACTGCAATGAAAACTAAAAAAAAAAAAAAAAAGGCATCTTGCTGGAAAATACTGTTCTAGAATGATAACATGGTAATATAATATTCACAGAATTGGTTGGGCTGTCAAGGAGATCTGAATTTTTTTTATTCCAAAATCTCTGAAAACAAGTTAGGGAAAATTACAATATAAAGATATAAGACAAAGCCAAGATAATAATGCCTGAGCAGAAGGAAGACAACACTTTCTGATCCTTAATTGGAATCAGAGGAATGCCACAATCTGGCAAAAAACATAAAAATGTTCTTTTCATTTGATTTTGTCTGATACAAAAGAAAGACAGTTATTATTTTTGGATTGCACAATAGTGCGTAGAAGTATTTTAATAAGCTACACAACAATATCTTTGTTATGATTGCAATGCTATTACTGGAGTGGTTCTTGCAGTGTTCTACTTTGAAATCTAGATGGGCAGTGTCAAATCAAGAGCTTGTTTCCCAGTTCTCACATCTATTAGTTACAGTGGTAATATTTCCTCTATTTTGGAGTGGCGAAACCTGGTAAAATATAATTGCAATATGAAATATGTAAAATATGCACAGTATTACACTTCTAAAAATATATAGGAAATGTTTAATAATTTATAGTGGATTACTCCAGGGAAAGAATTATATAAGATTCCATCTGTACATGTGGCTAGCAAACACAGCCATTAGCTTCCTGTTTTGTGAACCCAAAAATGTTTTATCATGATCATATTGGAGGGGCTCCAATTCCTTAGTTCTTTTACATGTATTTGGATTTTTGTGTCTGGGAGTGTACCATTTGATTACATAAATACAGCTCCCAAGTTTCTGGCTTCACTCTTTCCTGCAGCTGGTGATGAAATAATGTAGTATTCTAGTAGTGGTTATTGCATTTTCCTGACATACAGAAGGTATCCATTTTGAAATGTTTTTAAAATGATTACTTTTCTTTTCCTGAACTACCTGCTGGAGCTTTTTTCTCTCCTCTCCTCTCCTCTCCTCTCCTCTCCTCTCCTCTCCTCTCCTCTCCTCTCCTCTCCTTCCTTCCTTCCTTCCTGGAGGTAAGGTATTCCAAAATATGTGACAAACATTAAGTTTTAGACATTCTTTTTTGTTTCTTTGGTCTCATTTGGAGAGAATATCTTCAGCCCCCATTACATACAAACCAGTGTGAAGTAGACACGTCAAGGGACAACTCTCAAGTAGGCAATCTCTAAGCCATAAAGGATTTAATTTTAATTTCCATTGTGATTGAAATCAGTGAGTAAGTAGGGTGTTCAATGAAAATCTATTTGCATTTTAGCCATAATTTAATTTTACTTCCATCATTTTTCACAATAAGTTAAGTTATTTCACAATAAGTGCTGAAAACTGAAAATGCAAACCAGGTACTGACAAAGCAGGCTTTATTTTATCATATTTGGCATTCACACTTATATTTTGTATCTGGGAATACCTTGACTTCCTCTGTTTAACATTTTTTATGATTAATTTAATGTAATAATCCTCTTGACACCAGAAAGAAAAATGACTTGCATCTTGGCAAAGACAACATGTAACCTGATATGGAAAGATTGCCATATCTAGATTAATCTTTCCATGATACAATATAATATTACTTGTGACCGAGAAAATGTATGTTTTTTAAAAAAATAGTTTATGTCTTCTTAAAAATAAGTTACTAAATTTCAAATGAAATTCTGAATTGAATTCTAAATGCATTTCTATGACACAAGGAACATAAGAAAAGTCTTACAACTTGATCAAGCCAAAGGGCTACCTATTCCAGCATCATACTGTATTTCCAACAATTATCCACAGTATTTCTTCTTTCTCAAGACAATCTGCATTCAGCAACATGCATCATATGAATATATATTATATATATCATATGAATATAGTATACATATTCTAATTAATTTATCTAAATTCCTTCCATAATCACCTAAACATTAGTTACCAACATTTCTGGATGTGTTAAAGTGAATGATATGTGATGTTGAAAATTAACATCACTTTTTTACTTTGTCCATCCTGAACCTGTTCCAGATCAATTCCTCCTGGGTGGCCATGAATTCTAAGATTATATTTGAAGAAAAATTCTGCCTGAGCATCTAATTGTCATCACTTCATCCTCTCATTTTACCCTTTTTTCTTGTGATGAATATCAGCTAATCAACTGCCCATTTTTCTTTTCATGTTTTACATTGGATCCAATATTGTTTTTAAAATGGTCTACAAATGTATATATTATATATGTATCTTGGTATTAGAGAAGTGTGTCTTCTCTAACTGGGGCTCGGAGAGCTTCTCGATTAATCTGTTATTCAGAATAAAAATGTTTTTAGAACATTTTGAGTTGTAGTGAATTAGTCACAGAATCTGTAGGATCCTTGTTCTTTTGCAGAACGGTAGGAAAAAAATACCCTTGAATTAGAATTCAGAATGACTACAGTTGTACTGTTTGTTTCTGTAGGAGAATAAGAGTCACTCAAGTTTTAAAAAAATCAAAATAATTCTGTCTATCTTTCCTTGTAGTGTGAATTCCAGTAAACATTATTGATGCAAGCTTGTAATTGTACCCATGACATGATATATCAAATGGCAAGATATCAAAGATAGTTCCCTTCCAGAGTTATGGTGAATGCCTTGGAAATTCTTAAATCCTAAGCAGATTTCATTTAAAGGTTATGTAAATAAAATTACAGATTTTGGTTAAGGAAAATATTATTAGAATTGCATTTTGATATTCATAGAGGAGTAGAATTGATTTTAATTGCTTCCCAAATTATCAATTGCAGAAGATGTTTAGATAGTTGTAGAATTTGTTACATGAAAGTAACCTAAACATTGTTTTCATTTTGAAAAGAAAATTGTTGTAGGAGTAATACATTATTTTTAAAAGGGCACATTCTACAGAAGCTGGAAGTTACAACTTTATTACAGCCTTTCTATTCTATTACTTATTTATTATTTTGGATAAATTTTGTTTATTATTTTCTTTCATGATACATCAATCATTTTTGTCTAAGTTATCAACACACATTTAATTGTTATAAGAGTGTTATTTAAGAATTCTGACAAACATAATTGTGTAAAATATTACTGTGCCACTGAATTTTTTTGAGATACCAAAATGACAATTAATCAGGCATTTTGGACATCTTTTTTTTTTTTTTTTTTTAATTGAAATTTTTCAAAAGTTTTACAAATAAAAATCCACCTCCCCCTCCCCAACCACCCCACCCCCCCCCGACTTCCCAGAACTGAATATAGGATTATTTAACAAATATTTTAAAAATAACATTTGCAATTTATAAAATAATTAATAATAATAATAAAAATCACAGTAATAATATATATAATAATAATATACATAACATAAACTTTAAAATGAATAATATATACTAAAAAAGAAAAAAAAAAATAAAAAGAGAAGAGAGAGAGAGAAAGAAGAAAGAAGAAAGTAGACGAAGAATAAAGCATATATATATAAAAAAAAAATATATGAATAATAATACATAAAAAATGTATATATATAAAAAAGAAAAAGAAGAAAGAAAGAAAGAAAAAACAATCATTACAAATTATAAAAAGGCTAAATAATATTTTTCCATATCCAAATTATGTTGTATAAAATTTATCCATTTTTCCCATACCGCAAAAAATTTTTCTTGAGATTGCTCCTTTAAGAAAGCCGAAATCTTTGCCATTTCTGCCAAATACGAAACTTTATGAAACCATTCTTGTAAAGTAGGCAAAGATTCCTTCTTCCAATATTGTCCTATTAACAACCTAGCGGCTGTAATCAAATTTAACATCAATATAACCTCCTTAGCATCACAGTCAATAACAATACCTAGTAAAAATAATTGCGGAGTAAATTTTACCCTCCTTTTAAAAATTCTTTGAATATTCCACCATATCTTAATCCAAAAAGCTTTTATATGCTTACACGTCCACCAAATATGGTAATAGGTAGCATCCAAATATCCACATCTCCAGCATTTCGGCTGTAGATTAGGGTACATAATGGACATTTTCTTTGGGTCAAGGTGCCATCTATAAAACATCTTATAAAAATTCTCTCTTAAGTTTTGCGCTTGTGTGAATTTAACATTTCTTATCCAAATAAGTTCCCAAGTATCCATTGAAATCGTTTCACCAATATTCTGTGCCCATTTAATCATACAATCTTTAACTAGTTCAAGTTCTGAATCTAATTCCACTAAAACCCCATAAACTCTCTTAATATGGGTTGGCCTTTGATCTCTTACTTGTTTTAAAAAAATTTCATCTTCTCTAAGCCAGCCCATTTTACAATCCATCTTCCATCTATCCACTATTTGTCTATATTGGAACCATGAATAAGTTAAGTTTTCATGTGTTAATTCTTCCAAAGATTTTAACTGCCAGTCTTGGCCATCCCATCTTAATAACTGTACGTAAGA